TCCATGCATATCAATCTAAACCTATCAGAGAGAAATACGGTAAGAAAATGCAAACAACACCACAGAGAAAAATAGTCCTATCCTATACTTAAAGCGAGATACGGTACGCATTCTTCCATCACACCAAACAAACTTCACAAACACATCCTGTATGAAAAAACCTACGAATCCATGCAGTCTCAGGTTCCACGTAGCACATTGAGGTTCAAAACCCAGTTCTAAGAGAATAGGAGTTTGACAGTCCACTTCCAGATCGCATTTCTTCCCACAGCGAACGCTTTCAAGACACGTTCGAAAGTCTCATTTGGGAATCCTTTAATCCTCAGTTCCCTCTTCACGGTCAGAACTCTCATAGGGATTTCCGAGCGGATCGTGGTATTCCGATCGATCCGATGCAGATAACCACTGATGATCGCGGCCTTCTGTTGCTTGCTTCCCCATGAGGAGTAAGACTGCCTATTTTTGAAAGTGAGCTTCTCCAGGTCTCAGATTGTTTCCTCATTCTTGATTAACTGCACACAGCCCAGGTGAGGTGGCACATTTTGTGTCCTGATTTCACACCTGAGAAAATGCAGAGTGTCCGAGCCTGTGTCACTCCTCTTCAGTACCAGATTCTGCGGATAGCAGCTCTCGAAGGTGTCCAAGATCGCTCCTCGTTGCTGTGCAGACAGCCCAACAGTGACAAGTGTGACATCGTCGACGAGTCGAATTCCAAAGACCCTCTTGCGGAATACGCCAAGGTTATTTAGAAATTTGCACTCCGCATAGGCGCACAGAATACAAGTCAAAGGTAGGCTTGTACTCTTGCCCATCAGAATGCCAATCACTTGTCTCAGTTGGACCCCGGTAGCATACGTGTAGGTATGCTTCAATTCTAATCTTACAAACTTAAGGATGTCAAAGAGATCCAACTGTCTCCTATGGTCGGCACCCGTTGTCTTCCCAAAGGAAGCGCCTCTGCCCCTAGTGTTAACTCGCACCGATAGCTTGCCTTTCCGTTGATCGTGATCGATCCACTCAACCGCTTCAAGAATGTCTTCGTGAGGGAGTCGGTTGAACATCTCCTTGATGTCATACGAAGCCGACTCTACTCCCTCCCTATTCCCTCTCTCGATCCTCCTGTTGATGCGTTGCAATCTGGCCGCGAGACTCGAGACGGCCTGAAGATTGGAATGGTTGTCAACAGGCAATTGGAACAATAAGTGATTCAAAGCCTTCGCCACCACTCGTCCAATCTTCACCATAGGCTCCTTGAAGGTGGGGCATATGGGTCGAAACCGACTTGTGTCTTTATGTTTCGGGAGTACATAGGAGACTCCATAGCTCCCCTTATCGTCCCAACGGGCAAACTTCGTCAAACCCTCCTCACGAACTTCCATTTTGACCATCGCCAAAACCTCCCTCTCCTGGTCTTTGACAATCCTGTAACCAACATTCGTAACGAAAGAATCCATCATCGCCCTATAATACACGAAAGGACACATAACAAGTGTCTCCCCAGCGTTACGATCCAAAGGGGTGAGAACCATCCCATCACACTCTCTCTTCACGGTGTTGACTTCCAACACCGAGATCCTATCAGAGGAGTCGTCCTTCTCACCAAAGCAAACTTGAAAATCGAAAAGGCCGAAGTCAGGTACAAACCCCTTCAGATTGTACCAGTTCGAGAACCCAGATACCACTTCTCGTCACAGCAGAGACATCCGGTTCGGGATGTCAGGACGTGGAATGTCATTAGCGTTCGGCAATCTTTGGTATCGAGTATCGCCGTCGCACAAACGAAAGCAGACGTCCCCATCCTCTTTCGGATGGGGAGACCCTGCACAGACGCAGGTGGCAGTATCGTGGGACGCAAAAACCCGTTGATTATGAAGGGTATGACCGATCGAAGGGTTCTTCACCCAGACGATCCGTACCTTCTTCATTGCCCGATTCCGAATGCAGACAGGTAACTCGCATGCCATAATACCATCGTTCACTAATTTCCTTAGCTCTACTAATCTAATGAGGTCATCAAACTTCACGCAAATAACGAGGGCGGCAGACAGACTGAAACCAAACGAATCACGGACCACTCGAGAGATCAACCGCCTGAGGTATTTCCGAGTAGATTTCTTACTGAAATCCTTTATCACATTATACATCTTCATGAGCAATTTCAATCCCCATCTATAGACTTCCGAAATCTTTCTCGGATTCCTCAAAATACCGACCAGGATAGCTTTTAGGATTCTAGCCTTCGGCATCCATTTCCGCACGTGCACAAACACGAAGGTGTCCCCGTTTTCGAAACGCTTCTTACCGGCTTTGAGTAGAAATTCAGTTTTACCCTCCCTTATCGTCGATTCCCCAAAACTCTTCCTTAGCTTCTTCCATCCTCCCACCCACGTATTACCACCTAACGTCTTGCAAGTCAACTGCTGTTGACCACCCGCCGATTTCGCGTTGAGGGACTCCGCCAAATTCAGGACAGGGTGCACGTCTCCAACAAAAGAGAAGGACAACGGATGTATCGCTCGTTCCTTACCCTATCCCGACTTCCTTTCCTTTCTCCCCTTGCGGTTCTTCTTCCTCCCTCTACCACTCTTAACAACCCCGACACTATTCAAAAACGGCGACCATTGTCTAATATAGACATTCTCAAGGGCTAATAGTTCCTTTTCGACAGACTGGTCAACCGACATCAGTACATAGTTCCCGGGTCCAAACACACATAACCATCGCTGGAAATGGGAGCGCTTACCGCTTCGGCACTTGTATAGGTGCTCACGCCATCGTACGTCCACATCCCGTGTAGTTCTCCCTACATACTGGTGTTTACAGAATGGAGAGACCGCGACATAGACTACATTCTTCAATGTAAGGAACTCCGTCTCGTGTACATCACAAAGATGTCTCCAAGAATCGACTAGTTTAGCGTTCCATCTGATCTCCTTCCTGCAACTCAGTACGAGGGCACATAGTCTTAGCAACTCCTCAGCCTCACGGTTGATAGACTCCAACTTACCTCGGTATTTCGTCACAAAATCAATGATCTGCCATATCTCGTCTGATCCGTATTTCCGTCAAGCGTCGTTCTCTTCCTCGTCACCTTCAGCGATTGCTGCTTCGTCCTCGACCAGCTCCGTAGCGCTGGATACCTCGATCGCCTCGATCTCGCCGAAGTGCAATCGAGTACGATGGCTAGCGATATCGAATATCGCATCAATCTTCCCGACATACACCACCCGTTCGTCCTTGCAGATTCCCTGCAGCTCCAACGCATCCAGTGAACGTAAGTCTTCCATTTGCTGGTTACGATATCGTAGCTTCTCAACGGTGCTAGGCTGCCCTGGTATCTTCTTGAACTTGTCAATCAACGGTGATAACTTCGTCTTCAACTTGGCTCTTGAGCGGGTAATTCGAACAGGTGTGTTGGTGTCCTTCTTCTTCTGCTCGGATCGTCGCGGTGTCCGCTTGGCTGGGATGACCATCGGTGGACTGTCTTCGAACATCACCTTAGGCCCCCTCTTCCTTTTCTCATGAATCGTCAACTTCTTGGTTTTTGCTCGAATGTCCTCCGTGCCGCTTTCATAACTCTCATCGCCGGAATCGGATGGTATATGCACCTTCTGGTTTACTGGTTTGACTTTCCGAGCGAATTCCAACACTGGGCCCAAACTAGCCTCCATACGATTGAAGAAGTCGCCAGTCTTGATCGCCAATTGGAGCTCCACCTTCTATTCGATCTCTGCAGCATGTTGCGCTTCCCTCATCTGCTTCTCGATGCGCTTCTGTTCCTTCTTCTCACGAGCCTTCTGCCCCGCCTTCAGTCTCTCGGCTTCTTCCTCGGCTCCAATGAGTAAACGTTCGTCTTCGGCCTTCTTTGCCTTTTCTACCAAAACGAACTCGGACACCGACGCCAGGCTCTTGTTTACTTCCTCAATCTGACGACGCAAGTCTTCCGGTGCCACAGTAGCAGCAGCCGCAGCTTTCCTCGGGGAAGCCGATCGACCTCGGTTCACGTCATATGAGGTGGAGGCCTTCGTCTCAGGAGCACGCCAACGGCTAGGGCACTGGTTGGCATAATGCCCCCTCTCATTGCAACTGAAACAACGCGATGGAGAGCGCCGGTAATACCGATCGCCGCCCGCATCTTCCCTTCGGTCGAAGCCATGTCAGCTTACTCTGTCCTCGCTACCAGATCTCCTACCTCGGTCATAGTCGCGCCGATCTCCCATTGTCAACTCGCACACACGGTCAGCAAAGTCGCGTCCAAAACGTAATCCACACTCGCAGTAGTACAACGAAGTATAGTGCCACAATTGAAACTACGCGCTCACTCGTCTCAGTAATTTTTCCCCAAGAAAGTTAGCGTATGCTATCGTAGATGATGATATGGAAAGGTACATGGAAAAGCACATGTAGTCAAAGAAAGCTCAAAGCAGAGACATTTCAAAGACGAAGATAGTTATCTCAGTTTGAAAGTTGAAAGAATTACACATAGTCGTGAGAGAACGGCGTCCCCGACGCACGTTTCGGCAGCTGCCAGGCTGCCTCCTCAGGGGGTTTCCCGCCAAAAAACTTCACCCGAAACTTAATCCGTTCACCGACTAACCCTCTTTCGTAACCATCGCTACGCGACATACCGGATGCCGCACAGTTCTAGCTACGTTAGTCCCGTCACAGAGGTCGACTATCCTATCGGTCATCCTATTTATCGCACAGCACAGCACCGAACACACAAACTTCTAGTACAGGACCTATCTGTTCGGACACAGCAGCAGGCATTACTGACCTACGGGCCACAAAAGGCCTGGCCGCAGATAAACAGGCAAAACCGATTATAACATCGTCCCGATAACGCTGTGAGCCCAAGCAAGACCCAAGACCCACCCTATCCAAACAGGACAGCCCAAACCAATCCCAGCCTATCCCGCGCCAAATCAGACAACCCAAAAACCTTTCGAACAATATACCCCAAGACCAAGTTCAATACATCCCTGCCCGAATACTACGAGTCATATGGCCCCAAATTCTCACAGTTAAAATCCGCGTACACACCACACCGTTCATGTAATATCTATTAGATAAGAACACTCCATGCATATCAATCTAAACCTATCAGAGAGAAATACGGTAAGAAAATGCAAACAACACCACAGAGAAAAATAGTCCTATCCTATACTTAAAGCAAGATACGGTACGAGCGACAGTGGTGGAGGGAGAGGATGCTCCAGCGAGCGAGAGACGAGGGCATACATGTCCCTGCCGACCTCGAGGAAGGGCTGGCGGCAGACCCTGTGCAGCGGAGACAGGCTCGCCACCGAGTGCCCAGAGTGACCCAGACTCGTCTCGACGGTTGGGTCGAGCACCCCATCCAGTACGACCTTGACATGGCGTACATCAGATTCTTCGTGGGCTGTGGTATCCCGTTCAAAGTCTCTAGATCGGAGTGGTATTTGGCTCTACACGACGTCTACCTCAGTCAGTTCAAAGGTCCGTACCGACCGCACCAGCCGGGGTCTGAGTTACTGCGCACGACTCTGTTGTCCCTGTTGTACGCGGAGCTCGATGAGCGTTTGCGGTATCACCGAGAGTCGTGGTCTGAGGGGGTCACTTTCATGACGGACGACTGGTCGACTCAAGCCAACCGCCCTCTCTGCAACTACTTGGTTGCAGGGAGGTTGGGTGCATCCCTGTACTGTGTCGAGGATATGTTCGGTAGGGAGCGGACCGGAGCAGGTCTATACCTCAGATGGAGGGAGCTCATTCTGGAGATCGGCGCTCAGCATGTGGTAGCGATATGTACGGACAATGCGTTGGCCAACAAGGAGGCTTACCATTTGCTCCGTAATGACCAGGATCTTTCATTGCGAAAGATCGCTTGGATCCCTTGCGCAGCCCACTGCTGCAATTTGATGCTCACGCACATCGCCAGACAGCCGTGGGTTGCGCAGGTCGTCACAGAGGGGCGAGATATCACTTTGTTTTTTCGGCAGCGTACCTCTTGAGTCGGCAGTCTCCTCCTGTGTCCTTGATCCGCCCAGGGGAGACGCGGTATGGGACCAACTTGATCATGCTGAGGTGCATGTTGGAGTTGCGTTCATTTTTGGATGCCTGTGTTAGCAGCAGTGCTGAGGGATGGTGCACGCAGATGCTTTGACCTTCTCTGCGCCCCCAAGTGGTGGCAGCAGGTGGATCTGGTTGCCACCATTATGGGCCCCATTCACGAGCTCCTCCAGCAGGTTGATTCTGACGGGCGTAGGGTCGGCGACGTGTGGGGTCTGCTGGAGAGGCTGCGGATTACCGTAGATCGACTATCTCTTGATGAGGCTTGTCACCAGCCCGTAAAGAAGATAGTCAAGGAGAGGTCAGATATGCTCCTCACCCCCATTCATTGCGCTGCGTACCTGTTACACCCCAAGTACCGCAGCATTGACACCTTGATGCGAGGGACGGTGCAGGAGCGCATTCTCGTGGAGAATGCGCTTGATTACATCGCGAGCCAGATCGCGGGAGGCCGAGAGGGCGACAAGATGACTGTCGTGTGGAGTTCTTTGCAGGACTTCCACGGCAAGTATCCCACACCTGGTCATTGGGGGGGACCCATCGGAGATGCAGAGATCGAGCAGCCCGACTTTGATCCCGTGAGGTGGTGGAGGGTTCAGGGGGGTGATCATCGGGTACTGCGAGATGTCGTCATGCGCTGCTTGGGTGCGTGGACCACTGCCTCTCCCTGTGAGAGAAACTGGTCCACGCACGACTTGGTGCACACGAAGAGGCGCAACAGGCTGGGCGTCGAGCAGTTGGAGAAGCTTGTGCTCTGTCACTGGAACCTTAAGCTTCTCCAGAGCAGTCACGGGCGTGGCGGGTTCATAGGGGCAGGCCTCCCAGGGGTCGGATTGACTGATGTGGAGAGGAGGGCCGAGGACTACTCCCGTTTCGAGCTGGACGTGATGGCCCCGGGGACATACGACCCGGCGGAGATCGAGAGGGAGGCCGATCGCCTTAGGAGGCAGTCGAGGGGCAGACGCTTGGCGCGGGCCGCTGCAGCACTGGCTCATCAGATTCGCCAGCAGGGCGAAGACGTGATCCGCGGAGAGGATGTGATTGACGACGACATGTCGTGGTTGTCGGGACCTTATCGAGGGGATGGGTTTTTGGATGTCGAGGCCCCTGCCACCGTGAGCCCTGCAGGTCGGATGCTCCCACCACGTGCCAGCCTTCTTGGTGACGATTTTCCCAGTGACGAGGCCCCCCTTGCTGGCACACCTGCATGTGAGGCAGACTCACACAGCCTTCGTGGAGACGAGTTTCCTGACGTGTTGGCCGGCGCCGGCGCAGATGACGGCACGGGGGGGGGGGGGGGGGGGGGTTGCAGGTCGATGCCCCCCCCGCCACACCCCACGAGTCCCATCAACCGAGGGAGCCCGCTACACGATCTTCGACCCCGACAGCCCTCGAGGACACGTTGCAGTCGTCTTCTGCGACAGGTACTGTTGAGGGCACGTCGGCCGAGTCCCCCGCCGTGCCTGCTGGCACATTTTCCAGCCCCCACCGTGCAGTGGAGTACGACTCCGAGGGGCGGCTCAGACGACGAGCAGGTTTCACCGATCCGCTAGACTTGTGGGCAGCATCGGCTGTATGCCATGATGTTGAGAGGGATTTAGCGGCGTACTTACAGAGACCGTTGTCGGATCTGCCGCGAGTTGCCCTTGATGCGGAGACCGGCGACGAGGAATGTGGAGAGCCCATTGTTGGGGAGGCTACGGTTGGGGAGGCCACTGCAGGAGAGGGAGGCGTAGAGAGAGAGGATCTCGTGCGTGACCTGGCGGTGGTCGGTTACTCGGCGGAGGAGATCGAGGAGGCATTGGAGGGGTACCCTGGAAGACAGGGACGAGGCATACTTCGACAGGGGATGCGCTCACGTTACGGGGTGGATTGTGGCACCGCACGCGTTTCTCCCTCGCTCCCGTTGCCGCCCCCAGATCCTTCTTTGGCACTGGGCATCGCAGGCCCCGGACTGCAGCTGCCTCCCGAGATGGACACACAGGGTGCCAGTGCCCAGAGCAGCGGCATACGGGAGCACGACTCCCTAGGTACTGGGCTTCGCCATGCAGTTCCCCCTGTAGTTTCTGGCGCACGGGCGACGATGCCATTGCCGCTGAGAGACCCCTCAATCATCATCGAGCGGAGTCGACCATTTGTTGGTCGCAAGAGAAAGGCAGAGAGTGTCAGCGGACAGGAGGCAAGGGGAGTTGCAGGTTGTGGCAAAGGCAGAGGCCGACCATCGGGAGAGGGGAGGGGTGCGGGCGAGAGGGTTATGTCTGCAGCGGGACGCGGGAGAGGAGTGGGGCGTGGGAGAGGAGAGGGACGTCCCAGAGGCCGACCACCCGGACGGGGGAGAGGAGAGGGACGTCCCACGACACGAGGGGGCGGTGTACCACGGAGGAGAGCCCCCGCAGATGGAAGAGACGTTCATACGGACGCAGTGTCGGTCACATCATCGAGCACCGAGGAGGAGGAGGGCATAGCATTGCGCATCACCAGGCGGCGCAGGGGAGAGGCGACGACGGGGGCAGCATTAGCATCCGTGGCCACATCAGGCTCGAGCACATCGGCATCATCAGGCGACCCGGATTTCGAGGGGGGTGTTGAGGTGGACGAGGAGGAGGCAGAGGCCGATGCAGACCTTGCGGCGGGAGAGGGTGACATGTCATGATAGTTTTGTACATTTTTTCGTTTTGTGTTCAGGTGTGTGCAGTGTGTGCAGTGTATGCAATGTGTGTGTGTGTGTGTGTGTGTGTGTGTGTGTGTGTGTGTGTGTGTGTGTGTGTGTGTGTGTGTGTGCGTAGACACTCTCTGCCAGCGAGCGAGGGGTTCATTAAGTTTTTTGTGTCTGTGTGCGGAAAGTTTTTGTCACCGCATTTTGAACGCTTTGTTTCATTTTTGTTCTTTTTTTTTTGTGTTAAAATTCAAACATCCCCCTCAGCCAGGGAGCGAGGGGTTCATTGCGGAAACTGTGGTGACTTGTCTACGAGGCTCATTCCCCCGCTCGATGTGCCAGATCAGCAGTTTATGGTTGCAGAGAGCAATAGCCAAGTGTGAAAGCTGCACCAGAGAACCAGATCCAAACAAACTCTTTCGATTTCCTGTGACCAGCCTATGTCGCTTGTTCCCTTTCCCTGCCTTGTGTGCTCGTATGTTGCCTTGTGCCCTGTGTTTCGTTGCCTTGTCCGTCGTCTGAACGCCCACCTTTCCAAATGCCATCCGGCCTATGCCACTTGTTGTTCCCTGCCTTGTGCTTTTGTACGCTGCCTGCCCTCCTGCCTCCCCCATTGCCCCAAATTGAATGACGTCCAGCCTATGTTGCTTGTTGTCTCTCCCTGCCTTGTGTGAATTGTGCTTAATTCCTACAAGCAAGTCCTATTGTCTGCACTGCCCCCTCAGGAATCCACACTGCCATTCTTTTGCGAGCCGCATGAACTGGAATCGTATGGGAAGGCAAGGGGCTTGGACTAGAATCGTATGGGAATGCACCAACGGGCCTAGCTTAGTTGTGTGAGGATTGAGCCCTCAAGAAGGGGCCTTGCCATGACGTACATGTTATGGGCTAAGGCCCCCAGCAAGCATCGTGCCCGCCCTAAGTGAAGGCGGGCCAGCAAATCAACAAGAGCCCTTTGTGCAAACATTTCACGAAGTGGGGTTCATACAGTTGCAGCACGCCAGTTGGTTGGAGTGCACCGAGTCTCGGATCTCTGCAAAAGCGGAAATCCCAGGGCCCTTGAGTTGGTTAGGCCCTGGGCACCTAAACGTGAGGCTGACAATGCATGCTGGATATAGAGGCCGAAAATGCCAATGGAAGACCGGCCCACTATCTGAATCTGGCCGCAGGCCTTGATGAAAGAGCCGCAACTGCATCTCTCTCTCTCTCTCTCTCTCTCTCTCTCTCTCTCTCTCTCTCTCTCTCTCTCTCTCTCTCT